GTAAATGGATAGGTGGGTGTTAGAGGTGAACCTTTTTTAGCGAGAAATGAAAACAATTTTAGAAAAAATTCACACAACTTACCAATAATGTTGTTCACAAAGCGTACCTTCTTCTTCATCAATTCGTTCAGCTTTAGCTCCATAGATTCCTGTTGCATTAGCCTTTGACCCACATTGGCTCGATGTTGTCTGCTTCTGATCGACCGCAGATTGTCTATTTTTCTTCAAAAAACTTTTGAGATCACCGTATGGGCAAAACTCGTAAACGATCTTTATTTCGCCTGATGAAAATCAAAGATTTAATTGCTTCAATGGTTTGGAGTTTCATATGTGTTCAAATTTACCTTCGAGAGGGTTCTTAGTGACTGCCCCAATAAAACGAACCACATTAGGATGTTTGGGCAAACGTTTTACAATATTTATCTCTGCCAATAGTTCAGTTGTTCCCTATTCGACAGATATCAATATACAGATGTCATCAATAAACGAACGACAGATATCAAAGTCAATAAGCGAATACTAAACAAAACATACCGTTAGTTTTGAGTCAGTTTCATTGCAGTTCTTGACCGATTTTATTGCAACTCTTTTCGTTTTGAAACATGGAATTATTGGCAAAAGTTCTCCCTTATATACATCACTAAAATGGCCATGACCGATCGAATCTCCTTTACGCAGTCGATTGTAAAACTGAAGTGAGGTATAAATTTGATTGAATACAACCAGCAGAGATGCAGTCATAAAACCAAACAGCAGTACTAAAACCAATAATTTAGCTAAGAAATAAACAGAAGGTAATTATTTAGCATGGAAATTTGCATCGTTTAGTCAATTATTTCACAAATTAGAGTGAGGAACAACCAAAAACATATTCACTTTCATTTTCATTTCAAGTGCGTTTTACTTTTTACAATATCGTCTCCTAGGGTCGAGACGACATCTTGATGATGCCAATGTGATGAAAATCATTATGATAGACTAATTTCGCACTTTTGTGTAATTACCTAGGAGTTCCATTTCATGTTCTTCCAGTATTGCCAACATTTGCGAATAGTTTATACCTGATTTTCATTTATGGATTAAAGTTAATTGATTGAGTTTTAAATTAAATTAAGAGTTCAGCTACCAGGGTCAACTTACTACTCAATCTTGCATAGTCATATGGCGTTAACCCTTTGTTATCATTGGCAAAGATGTAAGCACCAAATTCAATGAGACGCTGGACGGCATCCACCTTACCTGAATTGAAAACACAATATCTTGATCACAAAAAGGTTTTTGAGTTAAAGCAAAGCGTTCATTTACCATTCAAAGCTGCAATGTGGAGTGGTGTACATCCATTCAAATCATAAACATCTACATCAGCGCCACATGACATAAGTAGTTCAATGAACTTTGCGTGTCCTAGTGTTTGAACGGATAAAAGTCAAATGATTTGGTTATAGTAAAATTTCATACAAATTACCCCACAAAGCTGCATAGTGCAATGGCGTCCACGCTTGTATGTTCCGAGCATTGATTTTGGCACCGCTTTCAATGAGGATTTGAGCTATATCCTCACGTCCTGCAAATGTAATTGGATCAAAATTGGTTGTGGATTGAATAAAGAATTCAAATTACCTGTCTGTGCTGTAACGTGAAACGGTGTGGAAAAATGACCATCTACAATGTTCGGGCTCACACCATCATCAAGCAATAATTTTATCATACCGATGTTGCCTACGACAAAACTTTTAAGGTGAATGATACAGCAACAATGTTCATGTTTATCAAACCATCAAGCAACAACTCTACCATTTTGGCATAGGCAATAGGCAAAGGAAAAAAATTGATTGAATGATAAATTAACATAATTCATAGAAATTTGTTACCCTCTTCAGCGGCTATATGCATTGCAGTTTGTCCATTATCAATTTTATTACTCATATTCATTCCTTCGCTGATCAAAGATCGTATTTTTGACACGTCATCTAAATCATGGAAGCAATGAAGTAAAAGTGAAAGGTTAGATTTTTTCACTTGTTCTGTCAATCAAAAAAAAAATTCGAAACGTTTTTTTTTT